TTCTGTAACCCCTTGCGTGTGATAATGGCACCCCCGCCTTTCTTGTGGATAAAAGTTTAAAATAAATCTATATGGAAAAAAAAAGAAAGAAAGATTCAACTTAACATGTCACCAGGAGGGTATTTGTTAAACGATGCATTTTTCTGATAAGACAATCTTAAAGTTTGTATTTTCTTCATTTCAAATGAAAACTTTAAAATTTGTTTCAGCCAGATTTTCACCTATCCAAAATACTTTATAATAATAATTTACACAGGGTGTCCATAAAGTCTTTTTACAATTAAAAAAAAGAAAGTATATTACAAAAGGAAACAAATAGACAAAAATTGTTACAAAATGAGATGTAGGTATTGATGTTTTTAAAATAATTTTATACCCCTCTATGTGGGCACCTTTAGATGCACGAAGCACATCAGGCGGGTACTCGATTTTTTGGCATGTTCGCGGTAGCATAGCCTCATCAATAATGGTGATGGCATCAGTGATTTTGCTTTAGATCAGTGATTTCGACTATCTTTGTTCGATACAAGATGTCTTTATGTCATATAAGAAGGAAATGAGAACTAGCGATGTCAAGGTTCGTACGTTCTCCGCCAGGTGTATAAATAGAGGTGCCAGATGGTTGGACTGGAGTTGACTAGTATGACTAGTTGACGAGTTGACTACTGGTCGGATTACTAGTTAATTACCAGTTGATTATTGAGTGACTATTAGTCGTTAAGCAGAGCCGCGCTTCTAGGAAGGTATTCACTGAATATGTTCATTTGATCGACACTTCTTTTGTCGTGTTACTTATTTATTTGCAATCGTAATTAAATACTGTTTTATTTAACATTGAAGTCTTGAGTTGTATTTTATCATTAACGGCCACCCGTATGGTTCACAAAACGTAAACGTAACCTCATAGAAAGAAGTCCAAGGGAGTGATATCTGGGGAACGTTGTGGTCAAGAAATTGGGCCTTTTGTTTCAATCCATCGGTCTGGAGATGTTTGGGGTTCATTTAACAGTACCTTTTTCATCAACAGGATACCTGTAATGCACAAATGCAACGTGATTCAAAACTTTGATAACTACTGAATACATAGAACAAATCTGATTAAGATATCTCATCATCATATCTTTGTAATATATGTTTTAAATAGTAAAGAGACTTTATGGACACACTGTATATGTGGAAAAATTAAGGTGTCCGTTTAAACTGATACCAGAAAGATAAGATTTTTACGTAAAAATAATAGTCCTTTCACCTTTATCATAAGATAAAACTGATATTCCTTTATAGGTTTTTAGCTAGACACTGCTAACATCAATAACAGCTTACTTCTTAGTTCCCATCGGTTCTAAGTACAACAGACTCTGGTTAATGGACAGTTCCCATAGGATATTTAAATCTAACAATCATAATACGAAGCAGTCTCTATAATAAATAAATACACAGACTCTAAGGATACCTCGAGGCGGTGTAATGGTTAGCAAGCGTGTCTCTCTAGAACAATTACGACTGAGTAGTGAGTTCGATCCTCACTGGGTGCCCCCTACTTTTGGCCTTGCTCTACATCTAAGCTATGCTTGGAAAATCACAATACACAGACTCTGGTTATTGAACTGTATCTACAATAGAGTTCATTCTAATAATCTTACTACGACGCAGTATTACCACGATGCAAACACACAACAAAATAAATAAATAAAAATTGAATGCTGACGTAAATGGATGATTCATTAATGATATGCTTCTTTTTTTTTTTTTTACTAACTATGAATTTTCGGCGCTGCTTGAAGTGAAATCTGCTATGGGGTTTACTGCAACTCTGCTATGTTGTTAACTAAATGCCGATGACAATGGATAAAGATGAATTGTCACAGCGAATGTCAATCATGTTTGACCAGTCTCTTTTATTATTATTTATACTTCTTTTCTTTTTGGCTGGCCAAAGTAAAATGAAGACAAAACTGTTGTAAGAAAGAACAAAAGTCATGAACCTTCCCTAGTCCGGCACGCGACTTATCTATCGTCGATTTTTCTTTCTATTGCTGGACAGCAGTTTCAGTAATTTAGTAAAGGTTTTCTGGTAACAGTAATGGCGCTAAGTAGTTGTCGAAATTCGGACAGTTGCACATACGATATGTCCGGCTGTTTTTTTTTTTTTTTTGGCTGGGCAGTTGCAGTTTGTCTGGACACAAAGAGGTCATTGTCAGGACAGTGGTCAGTTAATGTGAGGACCGGATAATCCAGATGTCTGGACAATGGTCATCAGCCACAATAATTCCATTAATCATTGCATCGACACGATGCAATGTCAGTCGGAACATCGTAGTCCTTAACAGAGACTTGTCTATTTTAGCAGTGCGAAAGACAGAGTGTAATTCAATCACGGCGAATAGTAGCCTAATGCTATTTTTTTTAAATAAAGCTTTCAAAGTCTTGCATCGGAAAGTACCATTGTTTGTAAAAACGTGTAAAGACTTCCTACTTTTTTCAGAAGTGAAAACTATTTGTTACTATTTGTTATTTGTTTGTTTTAATCTGTTTGCAATAATAATAATAATAATAATAATAATAATAATAATATGTATTGACGATAGCCGACATCATTGCGACGTGCAGGTACAAGCGCTGTTTGGAACAGTTTACGTACAGAGGAAAATGCATGTGTCTCTAAACTGCGGATATAATATTAATAATAACAATGAATAAATTCTTTCCGCCTCGCAGGACGCCATGTCATCATTGGGAGTTCGCCTGTGTCAGCTGAGGAAAGTGTTGTCTTGAAGCTGCGGTTTGGAGCTAAGATATGATCACCATTAGCCGACCGAAACATCTAAGAGTCGGATAGGATATAAAATCTAATAATATTGGGTTGGTGCATAATTATCAGACGTTTTTGTAGGCAAGTTATTTGTTAATAAACATTGCTGTTTTGTTTACTTTTTTAAATAAGAATATTATTTTATTTTCAGGTTAGAAAAATGCGTGTCGATAATCATACGCTCCGGAATAATGATTAAGTTATAGTTGAATTGTTATGTTACTTTTTTCATAATAAATATTGTTTAAAAAACGATTGATTATTATGCACCAACCCAATAATAATAATAAAGTTGGGCATGTCTTTTAGAGTCTGACAAATTATGTATTTCTGTTTGTGAGTACGGATAATAAAAAGGGCATAGTGTCAAGAGTTTATTTTTTAAGTTTGAAGGATGAGCGACTAAAGCTACTTGAGTCAATTCAAGATATTTGAGAGCATTATAAATCAGTAATCGTTTGCGTGAACTGGGTTGCCTGACCTGAAGGTATTTCTAAAACCTCCATATGCGCTGCTTTTATCCAAACCTGTTACAATATCGCACGCATTTGGCTGTGATACGTGTGCCTGCTATACGTTTAACAGACTAGGTATCATGATGGGGATATTAAACGTCGTATATTTCTACCCGAGCGTCACATTTTTTGTCTTCTACTCTGTCATTCAATAATGAAATAATAATAATGATGATAATTATAACAACGTAACCCTCCCCGCAAAAAAAAAACAAAAAAACTAGCAGATTATCAACATTAAATTGTATGCATTCATGAGATGTGTGGGTAGCGTAACGGTTATCAGACCGATTTCAAATTCTGTCTACTATATTGCACACACTTTCGCACAAATTCCTTTGAGAATGATATGAACCCATTTATTCTGCTCCAGCTCGAGGTTAAAAATCAGGCTAAACGGATCGCTGGTCCTAGGGGACAATCTAAGAGAAGAACAACTCTGAATCCAAAAGCCATGAAGAACTCAAAAGGAAAATCACTCGACTATCTTTCCCAAGAAGTCGTGGCAATTCTCATACCATATCCCTTCATGGGAAATAAAAGATACCTTCCTAGCCGATTGACATTACACTTGAATATTTGATGCTTATAGTTATCAGGGAAGCAAGCAAGAGGAAGAAATTTCCACAGACGGGAAGTGCTTGAGAAGAAGCTGTTTGAGTAGAAGAGACGATTACATTTAACCGTTTCAACAGTGAAAGGTTGGGACCAAGATGCCAACCTAGTAGCACGTTTAAATTCATGCAGTCCGGGAACCAGCGAAAGTAGCTCGTCGGAACAGTTGCCGTGAAAATACTTGTAGGTAGAAGTGACAGAAGGCAGCAACGGCACGTCTCTGAGAAAGCAACTGTAGACGAGATGCCAGATCAGGACCTGTCGCATTGCATATTCGCCTCTGGATTTTGTCGAGGACCTCGAGACGTACAGCGGGGATACCAGACCATATATGATAGCAATATTCCATGCAAGGTTGATTTATAGATTCGAAGGATGGGCGTAGATGAGAAAAACTTTCTGGCACGACACAGAGAAACAAGTTTCCTTGCGTTAAACTAGAGAATGTGTTTGTCTGTGTGAAGTTTGGTGTAGAAAGAGACCTAGAGAAAAATAGATGAAAGTGTAAGGAAAGGTGTATTCCAAGTGTGGGGGTAGATTTTCTCCATGTACGATCTACATCTTGCCGTGTAAGATGATAATAGAAAATAGATGATGATGGAGAATGACAACGTCTATTGAAAGGAAACCCACGGACGTAGTTGTAGACATCTGTGGCAAACGAGAATCGAATCGATAATTGCCAGCACTCTGATATATTTGTGTTTGTTTTTAAAAAATAATTAAGTAGAGTGCAGCGTGTGTGTAACTTAGCTAGACAAAAATTAGTATGTAGTTAGAGATATATGTTTTCTAATAATTGTATAAATTTGTCTTTAATTTGATATCTATGTGTGTAAACTGTGTTTTTCTTCTACAAGTGAATAAGACGAAGATTACGGCCATATCACGTTGAAGCACCTGTTATTATCCGATCACCTCAGTTAAGCAACATTGAAACTTGTCAGTACCTAGATGGGAGACAGATTGGGGATGCCTAGTGCTGTAAACTTCCATGTGCGATGAGTGCGAGATGCAATGAATAACGGGTCCCAATGAGAAATCGGAAAGACGCTATTTCAAAACACGCACATCCGCAGATATATAGATGGGAACAAATTGAGATAGATAGATAGATAGATAGATCGATAAGAAAAGGTGATAGATAGATAGATATAGTTCAATTCCCAGATGAATTCTGTGGACAAGACAGATTGGCATCAAATGACAATTGGAAAAAAATCTAATTTAACTATATTGTCAACATGGAAAAAAATAAAATAAAATAATAATGATAATAATAATAACCCCTTACTATAAAAGTAATTTACATTAACCAGAAAAAAAAGGCTTACACAGAAGCGTCTATCTTTTTAAATTTGGATTTTTAATGTAACTATAACAACAAAAACATTTCGATCTCATTTTTGCCTTGAAAAAGTCGGAAGACGAAACGCGTCAGCAAAATCTAAGATTCTTTTCCAATTGTCATAGATAGATATCAATAGAATTAGATAGGACGGAAGAAAAGTGATAGAGATAGATAGATAGATAGATAGATAGATAGATAGATAGATAGATAGATAGACGGAAGGAAGGAAGGAAGGAAAGAAGGAAAGAAAAAAAAGTGATATATAAATATAGTTAGATAATAGGTACCTCCACTAATTTAGTATATCTAAGGTTTAAATGAATTATGATTTATATTAAGCTTTTTAATTCTCGCTTAGTAAATGTAGTCTTCGCTTAACTTTATAACTTAACGAGCACAAAGTTAGGAAGAATTCTTAAAACATTTTTGAAACTATAAATTATTATAATATGAAAAATGAAAACAATTCTTGTAAAATTCATTATTCATCAAATTTTTCTTCACACTATAATGTCCTTAATATATATTATTAATAAAAGCAATTAATAGCTTATCTAATTAAATAATTACATAGTTTTATTGCAGTTTTTATTTTACGATTCGGAAGAGATTTTAGGGAAGCTAGCAATAATCTAAAAAAAATATGATGATTTACATTCTCTAATGAGTCCTGCTTTTAACTAATAAAAAAAATTGGAGTACGAAATTTAATTTCTAGAAATTTCATGAAATTAAGTAAGTGGGGTGTAACAGACGTAAAAAATATTTTTACGAAGTTTTTCTAAAAATAATAATTTTAAAAATAAATTCATTCATGTATGAGTAAGTCCTGAACGTTTCATTAAATATCAATTATTTGATTTTTGCAATACTTTTCAAATTAATATGTTATTTTACTGGAAAACAGGTGAGAAAATTTCCATTACACCATTCTGTTGACACGCTAAAAAACAAAATTTTAACTAAAATATTGAACGTGTTATAAAGAAGTAAAAAAATGAAAAAAAAAAAATAATTAAAAATGATTTGGTCTTTTCTCTTAATAATACCATTAATATTTTGACAATAAAACTTTAAGTATGGGGCATTTTTTTCATTATACTATGCTGAGTTTTCAGCGAAACAGAGAGGTAGGTAGCTAGTTAACTAGCTAGTGAGATAAGTAGATAGGAATAGAATGAGATAGATTGATAGATGGGACCTCTCTCTCTCTCTCTCTCTCTCTCTCTCTATATATATATATATATATATATATATATATATATATATATATATATATATATATAGAGATAGATAGATAGATAGATAGATAGATAAAAAGTGCACGGAGCATAAACGAAAAAGTGTTTAGTACTGGTGAGTAAACTACTGTCTGCTAAGGCGAGTTCGATTTTCCTTGGGTAATCTATCCTCAGTGATCATTTGTGTATGACATTCTCAGGATCCTTCTGTAGAACTACATCATTGATGGAACCAGTATTCTCGTTATCTGTGAGGAAATCATTCAGTATTCACTGGCATATAGGAGGATTGAAGGTTCGATACTGTTGTTTCTAATAAAATATCCCTATTTTTTAGTATTTTGTTTAGTTTTTGTAAGGAATCATTTCATCTTCGCTTTTCTGTGATATCTGATTCTGTGATATAACGCCCACTCTTCTAGATCTTTTTTGCTTTAATGCAGGCGCCCCAGGCTTCTATCCTTGTTATTCCTCAATTTTCATCAACCACCTTCCTATTGGCATCAGTTCTCAACTCGAAATCTATGATGATCACATAGCTATCTACACCTCTCTTAATCCCTCTGATGAGGTCAGCTTTGCAGCTCATCTAATGATAACTTACACTCTGTTGCTAACTGGGGTAAGGCATGGCTTTTTAATTTTAACGCATCCAAAACTAAATTTTAATCGCTTGAGAGAAATCTTTCTGCCTTCCATCCGCATGGCTGATGCTAACCCCCAGCAAAGTTATTTGCTGCAACCTTTCGGACAAACATTTTGTTATATACTGTACCTATGAACACTAATGCTTATGTCCCAATCCTCATAAATACGTTGGGTACTATTGTAAGTGGGGGTAATATGTTGCCTAAGTAGTCCACCATTAGCAGTGGTTTACCTACTTCACGTCGCTGGCGAGTATTGTATTTTGTTGATGTTATAAAGATTACCATTTCATTTCCAACCTCTGTTTTGTTTATTCCTCATTCAGAAACCCTTTCTAGGTTACAACACATTTCCCTTGATATGAAATAGAAAGATTATATTGAATCAACCGCTAAGTCTGTTGATAGGTAACTTGGTTCATTGTGTTTTGCTAGACAATTATTCTCGCCCGAATCTCTCTTACATATTTTTAAGTCTATCATTTGGGCGTCATTCCATCATCCCACAATATGAAAATTAAGCGAAAGGACAATTATACTAAGTGATAATTATTCGAAATGCAAAATTCTTTTTTGCAATAAAAATGTAAAAATTAAAAGAGTAAATACACAAATGACAATTATTCCAAATACAAATATCATTGATTAAACAATTTAGTAAGAAAAATCCTTATAATCTTAAGTTATATGATTTTTCTTTTTATGTGCCATGTTCTTTCAGGACGTAGGCGATCACGGTTCTCCACTTCTCCCCATCCCTTGTAGCTCTCAATAAGTTTCGTGCCTCTGTTAATTCCCCAGACCACGTTCTGCCATCCACTTGCGTAAGCCCTTCAGGCATATCATGCGTTGCTTTCCCTTGTCTCTTTCCCCCTCTGTTCAACCTGTGAGTATCAGATTCTCCAGGCTCTCCTTCCTCATTACGTGTCCCAGAAATTTCATCTGCCTCTTCCTTATGTTAAGTATAAACTTCCTCCTTGTTTGCATCCTTTCCAAGACCTCATCGTTGCTTACACGATCGCTCCATCATATCCTTAGCATCCTTCTGTAGAACAACATCTCCGCTGCCTCGAGTCTCTTCTTCATCTTTGAGGAAACCGTCCAACATTCGCTGCCGTATAGGAGGACAGATGTCATGTAGCAGCTCAGTACTCTATGTCACCAAAAAAATCCCCCCTGTCTCGCAGTACTCTGCCAAGCTTTCGGAATGCCTTCTTGGCCATCCGAATCCGTCTTCGGATCTCAGCGTCTCACCTACCGTCCTCCGTCAAAACACTTCCCAGATATTTAAGATTCCGCACATGCTTAATTTTAGTGTCCCAGACCTGCAAATCGCATTTTGGGCTCAACCTTTTACTGACGACAATGCATTCCGTCTTCTTGCAAGCTTATGGTTAGACCCTTCTTCTCGCTCTCTCTCACTACCTTCTGGTAATACTGATGAGTACTCGTTAAAGAATGCCATTATTTTTCCTTGCAAGTCCTGTTCTCTTTTAAGAGCCTCTAAGAATTTCCATATTGAGGATGATGGCCTGACACTTGCTTAAAAAAAACAAAAAACTATGCAATCCTTCAAGTGCTATATTAGTTTTATATAAGTCAGCATTGAATCTCTCAAAGTAAGACCACATACGTATTTCAAACATATGTATTTCGAATAATTATCACTTATTAAAATTGTCCTTTCGATTAATTTTCATTTAAACAATTTACAATTCGAATAAATGTTTTTCGAATAATTGTTTTCGAACAATTTTCTCGGCGATGTTTTAGGGAAAATGGAAACAAAACGGTCACTTATATTTAGAACCAGAAAGAGACAGTTGAAGTTTCTTTTCAGAATTAGAAAATAAGGTTTGGAGAATTTGACACTCTTAAAACAATGAAGGCAAGAGGGACAGAGGAGAGCGCAGTGTATAAGTTAACTAAAGAGCATGTGTAAATGACTGGTAGGACATAGGATTAGGAGTGATAATAAAAAAAAGACTTTAATAAGAGCTATAAAGGATAGGAAGTTGTGGAGAACCATAATCACCCAAGTCTTGAACGAGTAATGATAGTTGTAGAGGTAGAAGAAGAAGAAAAGGTAAAGAAGAAGAAGAAAAGATAAAGAAGAAGAAGAAAAAGAAGACAAGGAAGAAGTAGAAGAAAAGAAGAAGAAAAGATAAAGAAGAAGAAGAAGAAGACAAGGAAGAAGAAGAAGGTGAAGAAAAGACAAATAATAATAATAATAATAAGAAGAAGAAGAAGAAGAAGAAGAAGAAAAGGAAGAAGAAGAAGAAAAAGAACAAGAAGGAATAACAAGAAAAAGAAGAAGAAGAAGAGACAAAGAAGAAGAAGAAGAAGAAAAGGTGAAGAAGAAGAAAAGATGAAGAAGAAGAAGAAGAAAAAGAAGACAAGGAAGAAGTAGAAGAAAAGAAGAAGAAAAGACAAAGAAGAAGACAAGGAAGAAGAAGAAGAAGATGAAGAAAAGACAATAATAATAATAATAATAATAATAAGAAGAAGAAGAAGAAGAAGAAGACAAGGAAGAAGAAGACAAGGAAGAAGAAAAAGAAAAAGAAGAACAAGAAGGAAAAACAAGAAAAAGAAGAAGAAAAGTCAAAGAAGAAGAAAAAGAAGAAAAAGAAGTCAAGGAAGAAGAAGAGGAAGGAGATAATTGAAAAAAATATATACACGGACAGGAGTCCAAAGAATAGGATACAATGGAAATAAAAATCGGATAGGAAAAAAAAAGGAAAAAAAAAACTATTTACGACGCTGTGCGTACATATTTGTTTGTTTGGACATCATTTTTTTTCTTTGTAAGTGGTGACATCTACGTACAATACATGAGTGAGCACAGAACCCGACCAACTGTTAGTGTAGGCTTATGTATTTTCATACATGCTCGTGTGGTCACCTTTACATTTCAGATGCGCCTCGAAACACACACAGACTTATGTGCGCCCATGCGCGAAGATCACGTGCTATAATGTTCAAGAGACTGGACCAATGAGCGTGACTGATGTAGCCACACGGGTAATTCCAGCTCCCAGTGGCCTCAACGATGGAAAGTAAGCTTTGCTAAATTATTAAAAAGAGAAAAAAAACAACAACATAGAAAAAAAAATAATAGCAGACCCCCAGTGGACCGACTGCTGAATTTTTAGAGCCAGGCCGAGTAAAAGCTACAAAGGGATAAAGAAGGTGAAAAGAAAGCATGAAGACTAAATTTCGAAGCGTGTCGCGTTCAAAGGGTTGGTGGGGTAGGAAATAATAGAGCTGAAACAAACAGGTGGATGGGTGGAGATTACCACTCACAAGGTTTATTTATTTATATATTTTTTTATTTTATTTATTTCAAGGGCTTTCAGTAAAGGATAGCTGTTCTGTTTGATGCGGTTTTACTTTCTACCTTGAAATATTCATGTGGATGGAGCGAACTTTAAAAGGTTTACGACTTGTGATCGGACGTCGATGGGTGAGAAGAGAAACATAAGGGCAAGGCAATGAATTGGACACAGCACGAATCTAAACAGTTCTGCGTGATTTTGCGTCTATCTGCAGTTATTTGTGTCTAAAATTTCGTTTATGAGTGCCGCAGTGCTTGTGTGTGTGTGTGTGTATGTGTGTGTGTGTGATTGACATACAATTTTTATTCGTATACAAATATCAGGCAGATGCAAAAGTCTCCGGCGCTATTTTTTTTTTAAATCAGTTCCCCCAACCCCAAGCAAGCCGAGAGTGCCACTAGCACGCAAAGGGTTACAGAGGATTGAGAACAAGAGTAAAGAGGCATTTTTGAGGAAAGGATACAGAGAAGGACGGGGGAACAAGCTCAGGGTGTCAGATGTCGATTGACATTACACTTGAATATTTGAAGATTAGAGTCATCGGGAAAGCAAGTAAGGGGAAGAGAATTTCACAGACGGGAAGCGCGGGAGAAGAAGCTGTTTGAATAGAAGAGACAGTTACATTTAACTGTTTTGACAGTGAAAGGGGGAGACCGAGATGCCAGCCTGGTAGCTTGCTTAAATTCATGCCGTCTGGGAACCAGCGAATGTAGCTCGTCGGAACAGTTGCCGTGAAAATACTTGTAGAAGAGACAGAGGAAGGCCACGGCACGTCTGTGGGATAGCGATTTTAGACTAGATGCCAGATCAGGACCTATCATCTTGCATATTCGTCTCTGGATTTTGTCGAGGAGCTGGATACGTACAGCGGGAGCACCAGGCTATATATGACAGCAATGTTCCATGCAAGAATGATTGATTTATAGATTTGAAGGATGGACTCAGACGAGAAAAGCTTTCTGGCGCGACACAGAGAACCAACTTTCCCATTATGGAAGAGTAGCCAGAAGAAAGACACTTCTTAAAGTATATGTATATTCAATATGTAAGGGAAAATAAATTTAAGTTAAAGAAAATAAAAATAAAATATGAAAAAATACGACACGATGCACTTCTCCGCAACCAAGAGTGACATGACTTCCAAGCATAAATGAGTTGTTCGAATGGGACGATTTTAATACACCTTGCTTATGAGCCTGAATATGGCAACGCTATGTCTAGCACAAGGTAATAAATAAAGAAATCAATGGTAAAAAAAAAAGATTGAGAAAAGAACTTCTCCTTTAAGATTAATTTCTAATTAACTAATCAGAAGGACATATTTTTAAACCTGACACAATTATGAAAAGTGAGTAGGCTCACCGGCAGCGTTATAAAGGATGTCCGTCAGTCGGTTTAATCACTATTCATCGAGACAGTGTAAGCAGTCAGCAGTAGAAATCACCAGAACAACTAAATTTTCAACGCTGAGTTCATAGTAGTGGACGCTGGATTCCAGCAAACCTGCCGTGGACCTGCAAACCTACTCAGTAACACACGAACACTTAAAACAGACAATATTGAACTTGCTTATTTGAAAATAAGACGAAAGTGGATCAAGCTTCACTCTATAATATAACGTTAACAAATTCTCTTAAATTAAAATTCTACAAGTTAGTACCAACTTCTGCGAGTTTTTCGCAAACGACAATCATCAGATAAATTTTCCATTGAACAACGAACACTCCCGGTTTTTTGTCGTATTATGCCCCGAATTACTCAACAAAATTGAACAAAACTTCATGAACTTCACTGGCATATTTCCCTCACTACAAAGGACTTTCATAACGTCACACTAGTATTTTCTTTCCGGTCTAATTTCTGTAGGCTTTCAGAAGAATATTTTGTGCAAGCCTCTACATCGACATTATTTTTTCAAAAATATTATTTTAAACAAACAAATTTTATCTGTTTCACTTTCTCTCTGTGTAAGTGGCCTTTTTTTATTGTGAGCCTAAATAGATGTTTCTTTTGCATATAGACAAATCCCCATAAAGATTTACTCTGGAACTACTCATGATTAGAAATTATAAAAATAGATTTATCTTAACAAAGAACACAATGAGTTACTGGTAATATATCGTATTTCTGAAATATGATATATAACAGAAAGAGACTGCATGAATAATGATGATTTGACGGAAAATTATAGCCTCAAGGGTCGAATAAATAATGAAAAAGGATCCTGGTGACTGCCACGCACACTTTGACTCAATGATTGATTGATTTGTTTTTTTACGGCTTATCAACCATTATTTAAAGCCAGAAAATAGTTTTACATTGTAAGAATTTTTTTAGATAATAAAGATTTAGTGATACATGGCTTGCAAATAAACGCATAGCGGAGACAGGGAAAAGGTGTATTCATGTCTTTCCCAATGGAATTTGCGCGTAAGAGAATATAACGAACCCGACTGGAATTGAAACTCGGTTCGCCGATTAAAAATACCGAGCAATTATCCATTACATCATCCGAACATCAAAGCTTACAGCATCAGATATTCCAAAGCAGACACCCATTTAGGTACTGACCAGACTGAACGTTGCTTAACTTTTGTGATTGTCCAGAAACCAGTGTTTCAACATGATGTGGTCATAAGCCATTTGGAGTAAAGGTCTGTAAAAAATGGAAATACTTTTGATGCATCCTGATATTTTCTTTAGTTTTACATATTTGGGATTGATCGATTGATTGCTTTGTTTCTTTATGGTTTATCAACCCTTTTTAGGTTATTTAAAGCCGAAACACATTTGGGATGATAAGAATAATTCTGTTTCATTTTTTGTAAGTGAATATTACATTAACAATCTTTTTAGAATAACAATGATTTTTCTCAACACAAGCAGGACGTATAAGAAGGGGTTCCAGCCGGTACTTTGTTCCAGGTCCCAAGAACTAAGAAGTGTCCCACAGCAACCATCCTACACTCATCCCCACTTGAGAACAAGCACTTTCTACTATCCACAATTTGATATACACTTACATTTTAATCAAACATCACTATACCTATCGCACTACACTTTTTATTAATATTTATTATTAATTATAAATATAACAAACTCAACAGGAGTTGGAACTAAGCTCTCCGAATAATAATTCCCAGTCATTATCTATTAGACTATATGCACGTCCAGGTTTATAGTATCCGTTATTACAAGGAGTCACCCATCAAGTTACTAACCAACCTCAATGTTGCTTAACTTCGACGATCGTATAGGAACCAGTGTTTCAACATGATGTGGTCATAAGACATTTGGAGTAAATGTCTGTCAGAAATGGAAATACAGGGTGACCTAAAAAAGACCATATGCACGTCCAGGTTTATAGTATCCGTTATTACAAGGAGTCACCCATCAAGTTACTAACCAACCTCAATGTTGCTTAACTTCGACGATCGTATAGGAACCAATGTTTCAACATGATGTGGTCATAAGCCATTTGGAGTAAAGGTCTGTCAGAAATGGAAATACAGGGTGACCTAAAAAAAGGGAACTTTTTAACAATCCAATAAAACCAAGAGTGATGGAAGAAAAATATTTTATTCATAGTAATTGAAACCTTAAAACATGCCATTTAAGAAACAATGATGGAATTTTCATTTTTTAAAAATTACGTCCTGTAGATGGCGTCCTCCTGTACGAATGCATTCTTGAAATCTGCTGTTGAAATTCCTCATTGACTGCTGCAACATCTCAGCTGGGATACTGTGAATTTCATCTTGAATTCTAAATGGCGAAATGTTTACTTGCTCAAGGTCACTGTCTCGCAGTGTTGCCACTTGCTCATGTCTGGCAATACGCACTTAAAAAATTCTCGTTTTTTGGGGTCACCATGTACTTTTGATGCATCCTGATATTTTGTTTAGTTTTACATATTTGGGATTGATCGATTGATTGCTTTGTTTCTTTATGGTTTATCAACCCTTTTTAGGTTATTTAAAGCCGAAACACATTTGGGATGATAAGAATAATTCTGTTTCATTTTTTGTAAGTGAATATTACATTAACAAATTTTTAGAGAATAACAGTAATATTTCTCGATTCATGTCCTATTATTAGAAGGAGACACATTCACACATTTCTCAACGGTATTTGCGTGAATATAATGAACTCAACTAGAATTTGAACTCGGCTCTCCGATTAACAATACCGAGCTATTATCCATTACCCCACCCGCACATCCAAGTTTGCAGCATCATTTATTCCCAAGCAGTCACCAATTTAGTTACTGACCAGGTTCGACGTTGCTGAACTTCGGTAATCATACGGAGGAGGTGTTTCAACGTTATGACACCGTAGGCATCACACAGACTGTCCCTACCTTAACTTACAATCCGTAGAGGCAGGCACACTGGAGTTTGAAAGATTTAGTGATGCGTGAATCTCTTCCCCAAAAGAAAAATCAACAAATGGTAGATATCTCTCTCTCTCTCTCTCTCTCTCTCTATATATATATATATATATATATATATATGAGATGATGTACTGTATAACTACTTACACTATTTATATCGTTCGAACTGCTGTCCTCATCTTTATTGCTGTATTCGCGACGTATCAACCGTTGTATGCTACAGTCTTCTTCAGGACACATGGCCTAGTGGATAAAAAGCGTTGTTTAAAGTAATCCAAAAAGGTGAATTGACCCAAAGAGTTGTGAGTTCAATACCTGGCCACAGCAGATGAAACAAAAACATGGAGAATTGAATTACTAAAGGAAATTAACTGATACTGGGATACCCAGTTTTGTTTTACGGCATATTAATGCTGACAAGATTTTTATTGCTGGTAATATTTTTTTTCAAAAATGTATTGTTGGTAATATTTTTTTTCAAAAATTTATTGCTAGTAATAATGCTTTTACAAATTATGTTTGGTATTGAAACCTATTTTTACATGTTCGAAATTACAACGTATATTATCTGAAGAAGTTTACAACGGTCGAGACGTCGTGAATATGGCAATAAAGATGAGGACAACAGTCCAAACGATGTAAATAGTGTAAATTGTAGATTGTTGAAGACAATTTTCTTGAGTATCAGGTTGAAACAGGTTTGTACAATTTCATAAATTCAGCAAATCGTTTTACTTAAGTGTTCTAAGGA